AGACACTAACAGCAGTCCTGTTTTTCTAACCCTTCACAATTTACTTTCACATTTGTTTATAAGACAGAGTCTCACTATTTAGTCCAAACTGACCTCAAACTCAAAATCCTCTTTATTACTTATTTATATAGAGGCAGATTCACTCTACCTAGCCCTGGCTGCCTTGCAATTTACTCTGCAGACCACAGTGATCTTAAATTCACAGGATCTGCCTGCCTCTACTTCCCAAGAGCTGGAATTAAAGACGTGTGTGCCACCTTGCCCTACAGATCATAGCATTTTAAAAACTGTATCTGGTTAAAGTTTGTATCTGACCTGAGAAATGCAAAGACAGCTTGAAAAGACTAAGATTCATCTTGTCTCTCAGAGATTATTTTGACTAGAAAAAGACTACACAAGCCTATTCCAGTAGAACAGAGAACAGGTACCAGAGTGGGATTCAGAAGCCAAATAATTATGCTAAGGCAATCATGTATAAGCTTGACAAGTTACAAATTCAAAGACAGTGGATATTCTAGGTAGAGAAAAAAAGATGAAAAATGAGAAACATACTATGAAAGAAAACTAATGATAAAAATAAGCCCACTGACTTATTCAGGTGATAGGTAGGGAGAGCAAGGATTTGTTTTACACTATATATGAAACAGGGGAAAAAAGCACAAGTTTTTAACGCAGAAATAATATATGGCCCTAGTGTGGTGGCACACAACTGTAATCCTAGCACTGCAGAGGCAAAACCAGGAAAACTGATATAACTTCCAAACCAGCTTGTTTTGCTACAACAAGTAGGACAAGTACTATCAAGTTCTAGGACAGCCAGAGCTATACGATGAGACTCTTAAAACAAACAATAATAAAAATTTATTTATTTATTTATTTTGGTTTTTCGAGACAGGGTTTCTCTGTGCAGCCCTGGCTGTCTTGGAATTCACTCTGTAGACCAGGCTGGACTCGAACTCAGAAATCCGCCTGTCTCTGCCTCCCAAGTGCTGGGATTAAAGGCGTGCGCCACCACTGCCCGGCCAATAATAAAATTTTTTATATTTTAATCATACAATTACACAATGCAATTGTTTTGTATTTGCTTGTAGGACTTCAGAGATTCTTCCTTCCTTCCTTTTTTTTGAAAAGACAAAATCTCATGGAGCCCAGGCTAAGCTTGAACTACTGATCCACCTGTCTCAATCTCCTCAGTGTTGGAGTCATGAGCATACATCACCATTCATTGCTACAGATAACATTTATAAAAACAAATACTGTGAGTTTGCTTTACTTTTTCTATTAAACGCTAAGGTGGATCCCTTCTTACCACTCTCAATTTAGTTTCATTACTCAAACATTACTAAAATATAACAAAAATATAAAAATCCATCTTAATTTGCAAGTTTTACCATATACATTATTTGAATAAATTACACATATTTTTACACTGTATTTTTACATATTTTTACACTGTATTTTTCCTATATATTGAAAAATTTTTTTCATAAGACATGATATTATATGGTTGTGATGGTTTGTATATGCTGGCCTCAGGAGTGGCACTTATTAAAGGTGTGGCCCTGTTGGAGTAGGTGTGTCACTGTGGGTGTGGTCTATAAGACCCTCATCCTAGCTACCTGGAAGCCAGTATTCTGCTAGCAGCCTTCAGATGAAGATGAAGAACTCAGCTCCTCCTGTACCAGGCCTGCCTGGATGCTGCCATGTTCCTACCTTAATGATAATGAACTAAACCTCTGAACCTGTAAGCCAGCCTCAACTAAATGTTGTCTTTATTATAAGACTTGCCTTGGTCATGGTGTCTGTTCACAGCAGTAAAACCCTAACGGAGACAATGGTCATAAGGGAAAAAAAATTAAAGTCCAGTCTCTTCTTGTAGTCCTGGGTACCTAGAATTTGGAATACAGCCCAGGCTATCTCTAAACTTGCAATCCTTTGGAATACAAAAATTGTAAGAATGGAGGATTGGGGTCATGGATCGATTGTTAAAAGCCTTTGCTGCTCTTCCAAAGTAACCGAATTCAGAGTATCAACATCAGGTGGCTCCCAACCACTTACAACCGGAGAATCTGATGCACTATGTACAAATGCCCGCACATTCACAATTAAAAAGAAATCCTAAAAAAAATTATAGGAATATGCTATTACACCCACTCAAGAGGCTCTATATAGGCCAAGCAAAACATTAACTGTTTTAAGTTATTTTTCTTCAAAAAAATTTTTGTGGGGGGAGCAGGTGTGACTCTGTCTACTTGTAAACCAAATAAATGAAGTGCCTCCAGAGGCCAGAGGTGGTGTTGGATCTCCTAGGACTGGAATTAAGAGCTACTATGTGGGTGTTAGGGACTGAACCCAGATCCTCTGGAAGCACAGCCAAAGTTCTTAACCACTAAGTCACCACTTCAGCCTCTTAAAAGTTATCTCAGTTGGGCTTGGTTGGCCAGACCATTCATCTCAGCTCTTCTGAGAAGAACTGAAGGATTTTAAGAATAAGTTCAAGGATAGCATGGGCCACAGAGATCTTTTCTCAAAATAAAAATAATACGAAGAGGATTAGGCATGCAGCTCAGTTTAGAACTCTTTTCCCTGTATGCTTAGAAAAGGCCCTAGATTTACTGCCAGTACACATCCCCACAAACCCAAAGTTCCTTTTTTTTTTAAGATTTATTATTTATTTTATTTATATGAGTACACTATAGCAGTCTTCAGACACACCAGAAGAGGGCACCAGATTTCATTACAGATGGTTATAAGCCACCATGTGGTTGCTGGGAATTGGACTGAGGACCTCTGGAAGAGCAGTCAGTGCTCTTAACCACTGAGTCATCTCTCCAGCCCCAAAGTTCTCTTAATGAGCAGAAATCACCACTTTTTAGTGGGCTGGCTGGGAGTGGTGGTAAATACCTTTAATCCCAACACTTGGGAAACAGAGGCAGGTGGATCAACGTCAATTTAAGGCCACGTTGGTCTACATAGTGAGAATGTCTTCCCTACCTTTCCCCGAAAAAGGATATTATTAAGTCATTCTTTTTGCACTCTATTTTTAAAAATACCTGAACAATGGAGAATCTCAAAAGTGTTTCATATTCATGGCTAATCAACTGTATGTATATTTGAAAGTACTTCAAGTTTTTATTAGCATGTGTTTTATTTGTTCTACAATTAAGTGGTGCATTTGTAACTCATCCTCCCTTTTCAATCAAGAGTCTCAAAGAACACAGTAGTTTCCTTAGACTTCTAAGAGTAACTTTTTTGAGTTTGATTTAATAAACTCAAATAATCTCATAAAATGATATACAGGGTTCAGGGGAAAGTGAGAGGCTAATTCTTGGTCCTTATATAATAAGTATTTTACTGATCAGCTAGCTGGAGTTTTGACCTACAACAGTTTAGCCCTTCCTCAAGCTCCAACCCCCAACCCCATAAGGCTACTATATTGCTAAAGTTGATATGGATACCTAAAGTGGTTTGAATGGCAGTGGGAGTAGGCTAGGTTTCAAAAGCCTGAAGGAAGGACCCCTGTCAGTCTCTGTCTCTCCCTGTGAAGAATGTGCACGATACAATCTATAACCCCTGAACTTGGTGGGTGAAGAAAAGATCTGAAGTTCAAGGATATCCATGGTAAAATAATCAGTTCAAAGATAGGCAATGTTATATGATATCCTGTCTCAATAACAGAAAAAAAAAAAAAAAAGGATTCTGTCATTTTGTTGCTTTTATTTTCTAAGTTTATCAGATAAAGTCATTTTGGTGGCCAGGGAGATACTTCAGTTTGTAAAGTACTTCATTTATAAACACAAGGACCTGAGGATGAGCCCCAGTGTCTTAGGTTATTATTGCTTGATGAAATACCATGGCCAAAAGCAACTTGAGGAGAAAAGGGTTTATTTGGCTTATGCTGCATCATTATTTATCATTGAACAAAGTCAGGACAGGAACCGGAGCAGAGCAGAAACCTGGACGCAGGAACTAAATAGAGGCCATGGAGGGGTGTTGTTTACTAGCCTGCTGAGACTGCTTTTTTATAGAACCCAGGACTTATGAAGGGTTTTTTTTTTCCTCAAAAGAAGTTCTGTCTTCTTCACTGACCTTAGCTTGTGTCAAATTGACATAAACTAGCCTGCACACCTAGCACCCATGTAAAATGCCAGATATGGTAATATAAAGACTGAGGACATAAAAGCATGAGGATTCCTGGGACTCACTGGGAAGCCAGTTTGGTGTTCTCAGTAAGCTCCAGACCAGGTGAGTAGTGGGCTGTGCACCATCACTAAGAAGGAGGAGGGTGTTTCTGAGGAAGACACTCAATGTTGTCTTTTGCCTTCCAAATGTGCACACATACCCCAATACATACACATATAAAAACCTAGAAATTACAAAATATGCTTTTATTTTCTAAGCTTATCAGATGCTTCCTATTGCATGTGTCTTGATTCTTTTATGTTTGAGAGATATCTTTAATTTCACTTTAAAAAAAAAAAAACACTCATTTGGGCATCTGTGGTTAGGGGTACTCACTGCTTACGAAAAGTAATCTGGAAATCTTTTCTTCATTCCAGATATTTCTGGCAAATGAGAAATAAAACCAGGGTCAAGATTTATCCCCTAACAATTCCCCATCAACAAGTGCATCTGTGAAGGGAAGTTACTCATAACTTCAATCAAATTTAAAAGTTAAAGGATCAAATCTTCTATGCCAGTTAAAAATGAAGGATGGGTGACAGTGACCCTGGGGGAACATACCCCTGTCAAAATATATCCTTCATCCCTCTCCAGAAGAGAAGAGGAAATAAGAAAAAGCACCTGATATAGAGCCCCAACTCCTACTTCGTATATATAAAATGCCCCAAATCACCCCAGTCTTTAGCCATGTACAAACATTAATCTTGTGTATTGGTTGAAGCACTGTCTTCTCTCTGTCAGCCTACAGACAGAAAACACTTTACCAATAACTTCATTTTTCTGGCACACTAGTAATAAAACAATAAATAACCACATACTGTTCCAGAAAGGACATCGTGGGGGCAACAGTTGAGAAGGTGGCTCTTGCAAACTCTGTCATCACTGAATTTGATTCGTTGACGAGTTGTATCTCCTGTAATATAGAAAAGTTAATAATATTCAAGGTTAGGCAACTAGACAGTGTTTATTTTTTGAAAGTCCTAGTTATTACTAGCTTTTGGTGTGTATCTATAAATACACACTTATAAATCAACCCCAGGAAGGATTAGTTTTTTTTTATACCACCCTAAAGAAAAACTATTTTAGAAAACATGCAGTTGCAGTCTATGTACTGCAAATGTAATTCAAATAAATAGTCAAAGTGGGAAAGCAAAGCATTCTGTTAAATAAAAGTACTTCAGAAAAGCATAGGATTTTAGAGCAGGAATGGACTTTATAGATTATCAAGTCCAACTCCTTCACATTGCAGATCAGAAAAATGAGGCCCCAAGAGGTTAAGCAACTTGCAGAAGACCCACCAAGAGTTTCTACTGGTACACATGGTCTCTTCTTGACAGTAAGCACTAATTTATTTTGTAATTATTTACATTAATTGAAAAACATAAAAGTAATCTTGCAAACATTGCATACACACTGCGAATCCCCACTGAACCCCAGACGCCATTTCTTCCACTACTTTGTTCCAGTTGAAGTGTCTCCCTTTTGCTGCTGGGAGGAGTTAGAGGGTAGAATGAGGTGTTTAAGAATGTACAAACCTGGAAGAAGGACTTATACACCAGTCAAACAAAGGCACATTGCCTAAATGAAATGCTAACTTTAATACCTCCAAAGATTCCATACTTCCAAGTTTTATGTGGTCTGTACTATATTGACAAACCAGGCAAAATAAAATAATTTTGTGCTGCTATTTTATAAAAAGAAAAAAAAAAACCCACACAACTCCTAAGCAACAGAAGCAACCAACCTGCTTATCAAATATAGCTATATACTCAAAATTTATAAACCATCTAGGAAAAGGAAAGGTAACTAACTAGAGTAACAAAATACAAATGTTAGTTACAACTTCTTGCTAAGAATTTCTGAAGAAATAAAAGAAAAACTCACAGGGTCATTTCCTCTATGTAGAATGATATGCCCTAAAAAATGTAGTTTAGCCTTAAATTGGTATCACTATTAAAGGAAAACCTACTGATGAATTACTGAAGCGAAAAACGGCTGAAACAAACCAAAAGAGATTGTAAAAACTTCTACAGTTCACATGATACCTAAAGCACTCCAAACATTTCAACTAGGAAGTAATTCTTAAATTAAGTTCTGTATTTTCACACGTGAATAACAAACAAACAAAAAAATTCCAACATTACCCCTTTCAAGTGGTCTTATATTGCAGAGTTTAACTTAATACAACTAAATACTGTGGGGTAAGATTTTGTTCAAATTGTTTTAACTTGATTAAGGAGATCTAAAGAACATTCTAATTTGCAACTAGGACACATACATTTTTTAAGAAAGATAATATTGATAAAATCATAGCTTCAGAGCAGTTCAACAATAGGTTTTCTGAGGCTAGTCTCTAGGAGGTTATTTGTGACACAATTTGGAATAATCCATTTAGTGTTCAAGCCTGCTACTATAATATAGGTTACTTTGATGGTCTTTTATTTCCTTTTAAACACAACTGCTTCTGTTCCACATTCATTAACACATCTGAAAAGTTAGTGATAACTCACGGCTCGGCGAATGCGGGGCCTTTCTGAAACTCCCTTGCAGATTGAAGTAGGCAGGCATAGATACATTGAACCTTTGCAAATAAAACAAGGGGCCAGATTGTTCAGTTTGTATAGAATAGACTCTGCCAGCAATTTCAATACAGCACCTAGAAGTACATGTTGACTGTAAAGATTCTTGTATATAAAAACAAAAGTGAACAAAATCAGAGTGTTCATTTTTTTGTTTTGTTTGTGGGGTTGTTTTTTTTTTTGGTTTTGCTTTTGTTTTTTTTAACAATACTGACTTAACAAGTATAAGCCCAGAGAAAATTATGACTGGAGATAACAAAAGGTCAAGACTGGAGCTCTACAAGTGGCCCTTAGGCTAAGTGAGAAATATTTCTTTAAAATGTTTCAATGAAAACTAGTGAGTGCCTCAAGTTCATATCAGAACCAATCTATCATAAGCTCACACCAGAAAGCAAAAAATACAGTAGAACCTTTTTGACCATAGAAAGACTTTAAAAGTGATAAATGTTTAGGGGGTACGGAGCACTTACAAATCTCGGACTCAGCCTGCTACACATTATCTAAGTGTTTGGTAATGAAGCAGCACTGTCAGTTCAATCAACTAAAAACATGGCTCACGGGTCTAAGGATTATGTTTAAGTGAGGTCTTAGAATAAAGCTAATATTTACAGAAGTTTTAATAATCAAACATCAATGCTTAAGAAATCACATTAAATATAATAGTAATAAAGTATATATGCCCTGAAGATACTATCAAATAAAGCATGAACAATTACAAATATGTAATAGCCTTGGTGAGCTTTAAATAATGAAGGAATCTATTTCTATAAATGCCAAAAAAAAAAGAAAAAAAATCACCTAAACTACCTCACTTCAAATAAGTAGACATTCTAAAAACATTTGATAACTATGGCAAAAAATATCAAATATAGCTTTCAGATATTAGCCATCATAAAAATCTTTTTAATGAAATAATAAAACTAGCAGTATAAGATATAACAATGAGGGACTTGTAAGTATCTGTCTATTGATACCTCAAGTTCTACTTAGGGAGACTTTATGCTTAATATTTTAAAACAATTTGGCTACAAAATTACAAAGTCATTCAGCATTTGAATAAATTTGGGCTTATGACATTGAATATAATTTAACTACACAGTTCTGAAACAGAAATGCCTGTAATTTTTATTTCTGTCACAGTATCTGGCCCAAACCATGTTTTTCAAAAGAAATCAGGTAAATATTACCTTTAAATGGGGGGGGGGGGGGAAAAAGACTAGAAATAGGCAGTGAATATGAATAAAATATCCTTATAACGTAGGATTTTATCAATTCAACGTGCTTTATATATGTTTCCTGGTCACTGAATCATACAAGAAAAAAAAATCTGAGTTAATTCCCCTAATTGTCTTATGTTTAAAAACTAATAGGGAGAAACTGCCCTGTCAATGATAACAGTGACTCTATCCTCTGTGTTACAAAATGGACTAACAAAGCTTAAAACAAATATTCTGCTCCTAAGGAGACATATTTTCATTAGAGAAATAGAGCATATAAAAAACAGTAACACAAAATAGTATAATCCAAGTGCCAAAGAGATATTTTGAACTACCAGCAAAAGGTTGGAGAAACTGGGAAAGGCTTCATGGAATAAGTAGAAGCCAAAATCTGAACACTATACACAAGACTTAGAGGAAAGATGAGTATTCCAGACCAGAATAGTATCTTTGACAAAATTTACAAAGGCTTGAAGGTTTGGGGAACAGTAAGTAAACTATAGTCAGCTTTGGTATGTGGCTGAGTACTTCTGGAAATATACAAATTAGAGCCAAAGATATAATATTTGGAGGGTGGAACTTGCTGTCTTAAAATCTTTCTTCAATCCATATTTATTGTATATAAATGAACTTTAAAAAAATTTTAAATGAGGCAGTGATTAGTTCAAGTTGAGTTAAAAACAAATTATCTTACCTATAAAAGCAGGTCTCCCTGTCCTATGACCTCCACAAAAATTAAGCTTTATATAATAATGACAATGGCAAGGTTTTTGAGTAAGGAATTAGACCTTCATTTATTTATTTATTTATTTATTAAATAATTTTTTAAAGATTTATTTCTCTATGAGTGCTCTATCTGCATGTATACCTATATATCTCAATGGTTGAGAGCCAACACGTGGTTGCTGAGAACTGAACTCAGGACCTCTGGAAGAGTACATAGTGCTCTTAACCTCTGAGTCATCTCTCTAAACCAACCTATCTTATTTTGAGGTCTCACGCAGCCCTTGAATTCAAATAAAAAAATGACTATGATTCTGATGCTCCTGTTCTATACCCCCGACCCCCAAGTGCTGAGATTATATACAGGCCTACACCACCAGGTCTATTGAGGAATCTGGTTTAGAATTTGGAGGTGGAGGGGGCCACAAGCTTTTCATTTGAATAGAAACACCAAAAGTTTTACTAATCATATCCACCAAACAACTATCTTCAGAATTACAATTTCATTGCCTTCTTTTGTTCAATCCCCTCTTGGGTGTCATAAATTCTAACAGTTGAGAACACTTGTGTATAATTTATACAATAAAAGCTGAAAAGCATACTACATAACTCTAGTAACTGAACCTATGATGGCACTAAGATATCAGTTTCACTCTGGGATATGGCTTGGCCTCCTCTAAAACCAGGATTCCTATCCAAACTGTACTCAATACTCTTATCAAAATTCCCTTCAATTTGTTGTGAAGGAAAAAGAACCCCATTGCAATATTCAAAATGAAATTATGATCCTACTACCTGATATAAATTGTATTAGTAACACATAAAACCTTGGCCTAAGTAAGTGGTATCTGACATTGTACACAGTGCATGCTAATTTCCCAAAACCCAACCCTCCTCCCCCCTCAATATTTCCCACCCTCTCCCTCCCTTACAAACAATAAACCAAATCAACTTTCATAAATTTAGGTGCTATTTTAAAAACATCAAAATTTTACTTTACCCATTCTCTCCGATGCTCCCTGTATTTTTTTAAGCTGTGAGTGGATGACCATGCTATGTGATCAACAACTGTGAAGTTAGCAAAAGTGAACTGAGTTTAGTATTGTAATTTCAAAAGAACCTTAAAGTTTGTAATACTTGACATATTTAATGGTAGGCAAAATCCTATCTTACTGTATATATCATCAGGCATTAATGGCAAGCAATTTATAAAAGCAGTCAATATTTCTTTGTACAGATTTAGCTCAGAGCTCAGCTTCGGGAAAACAAAGAGTGAACAAGAAATACATCAACATTTACAAAGCAATGGATGTATCCCATGTCTATAAATGAAGGCAGAGGCAGGGACAGGGAAGCTCTCCCACATTTTCTAATGTTACAAAGTGTGTACCACCACCAGCTGTAGATGTTTCTAGGTCCTTTTATCACAGTTGATTTGGGACACAGAAGGTCCCCTCCCTCTGAATAAGATCCACAGTCCTTCAGTGATAGTAGAGCTAGAGCTAGAAAAAGAACAGAACTGAAAACCAGTAGCTTCTTGTTTACCTAACCTCTCTCTTGAATCCCCAAATACAGAGTAAGCATTATTACCCTTCCTTCCAATATAAATTCCACTTCCACGTACTAGTGTAGGAAATACTTAAAAATCTACGGTCAGTTTCTAGTCTACTGCTGGACAAGAGAAAACTTAAGATGTGCAAAATTAAACCCATGTCTTCACCTGACCCAAAGTGACTACTATACTCGAGTCAATCTGATCATTCTTATATAATCCTCCTTGCACCTTACCTGTGTCACCTATTTTTTTAAGTTTTTCAACATTCACCTACATAAATCTCTTTGGCAACTAGTTTTTGCTTCAGAGAGAAAAGCTGGCTAAGTACCTCAAACTACAGCTCATGATCCTTCTGCCTCAGTCTTTCCAAGTGCTGAAATAATAGGTGTATAGCACAACACCCAGCTTGTAATTAATTACTTTTGCTTTTATATGTATAAGTTTTGTCCACAGGTATGCCTAGTGCTCTAAGGTGAGAAGGCGGCAGAGAATACCCTGGAACTAAAGTTACATACAGTTGTGAGATGTCATATGAGTGCTGGGAACTGAACCAGTATCCTCTCCAAGAGCAGCAAATGCTCTTCTTAACCACTGAACCACATTTCCAGTTCTAATTGCTTTTTTTTTTTCATAGTCTCATGTAGCCCAGGATGGCCTAGAACTGATGCAGGCAAGGATAATTCTGAAGTTCTGTTCTTCTTGTTTTCATCTGCCAAGTGCTGGAACTACAGGTATGTATCACCATGCCCAGTTTTTGTAGTTACTTTTTAAAATATTTATTTCTCTTCATACCTTAAAAAGTATATCCAGTTTGACCTACTGTATATGTAAGCAATTCAAAGTATATTTTATTAGAAAACAACGATATTTTAATATAATCAAAGAGATGCTTTGAAACAATTTAAAATAGCTTAATATATTTTGTACTTTTGTAAGATGTTTCTTTCTGAATAGATAAAGTCACACTGGGTAGTAGTAGCAGATTTTTCTCTCTTCAGGAAATGTAAACATAAGGACTACTACTCAGTTTAGAAAAGGCTATTTCTTCATAGTACTTTGGTTAATATAATCTTATATACCATTATATTCTTGTGGACAACTACTTCAGGAGTTTTTTCATCAGCATACTTCTCAGACTTAAAGAGAGACATTACAAAAACCTCAAGTGTTGACTTAGAATTGGAAAAGCAAGTTAATACAAAACTAAGCACAGTGCTTCATGCCTACAGCCTCAGAATTTGGGAGACTGAGGCAGGACTGCCAGTAAGCTTGAATACATAGAGAGTTCTAGAACAAACTGAGGAGCTATAGAGTGAGACCTTGACTCAAAATATTTTTTAGTAAGGGTATACAGAATTTAACATGCAAGTCAAAAACTATACAGCCTACTAAACTTTATTTTGACACAGAGTTGCAG